CAACTCCTTTGCCTCACAGGCAGCTTAAAGGCATTCAAGCAGGTAAGTGCGGTGGTCAGAGGGGGAATTTGCCCCCGAGGCTGGTGCAGCATCACTTCTGCATGGCTGCCCATGGCAGCTGTAGCATCAGGAAACGTCTCTTACCATACAGTACCCAGCAGAGATGGACACCTACCTAAGAAGCCCTTTATATAATGAAGGAAACTGTAATCTTACAAATTATTCTGCCAAAAGTGGCACGAAAAATTATCAGAGGAGACCCTAGAAGGCACCTGGACTCCCTGGAATCATATTTGCCAAACCAGCCTCAGGAATAACACCATCTAGATAGATTTACAGCTCTGGTGCTTCTCCCTCTGCCATCTCAGCCACTCACCTGTTTCTTGCAAGTTCAGCTTCCTGAAGCATTCTGGCTACAGTCAAAATGATTTCTCTAAATTTAGGAGCTTGTTTATTTTGTTCTAAAAACTCTCAAAGACTCATTTTCTGCAGAATACTCAGAAAACACAGCTTGAGAAGCAAAATTCAGGTGGGTTTAATGGTGCCTCCAGCTGTGCCTCATTTTAAAGTCACTGTTTATTCAACAGAATCAATGCAAAGCAGAATTAACTCAAGTTACCAAATACTTTAAATGTCATGGTCTGAAAAAGTAGCAGTTTAGGAGAATAACACTGCTGCCACTTGGACTATTCCCCTTCTACTTGCCTCACTTTAAAAGCCGTGGGATTTCTCATATCACATGCCGTCAGAGAAGACAAAATGAAAATAACTTATGTAACTTTGTAGGGAATTCTGTATGTTTCTAACCCTGAAAGCACTAGTACTTTAGGGCTAGTGTAGGAAATGGTGCTGTGACATAAATCAGCAGCCTCACCAGCAGCCAGAAAAAGGCCCATGTCATTTTTGACACTTGTTCACTGCCTGTGCTTCCCCCTGGAATTTTGCTTGGGTCTGCCTGGATTTAATTCTAGCACTTGCACTCAGCCTAGCTCAGGAAGTTCCTGCGGTTCTCACTGAGATGTGAGAGAGCAGAGCAGAGAGCAGAGCAGAGAGCAGAGCTTCCCCATTTGTGGCTGTGAGCTGGGAAGCAATCAGGCAGCCCAAGCAGAGCCATGCCCATGTGCCACTGCTGGGCAAACAGCATGCACGGGTCCCCTTCACCACGCCAGTGCCAGCCCAGGCCAGTGGCAGCAGGCAGCCCTGCCCTCTCAGGACACAGGGATGGCAAGCAACCAGAGACTGAGGATGTGAGCAAACGTCCGCATAACTCCACCTTCTTGTTAGCAAATTCCAGATATCTTTGTAAAGAGCCCCTAGAATCTACCACTACACCTGTAGTTCCTAGAGATAAAAAATGTGCTTCACGTCACACCTGCACTAAGCGTGTCCTCCTGTCCCTCTAACAATGCAGTCCAACACTCCCTAACAAGGACACTCTCTACTCTTGTCAATATTAAAAAAAAATATTGGGAAAAGCCAATCATTCCCATATCCATAGCAGGCTTTTGCACACTATAAGGGGCATGGCCACACAACTGATTTGCCATTTGTCAGGACAAGCAGATAGGAGACCCCAGCAGAGGGGACAGGACTAGGCAAGCTCCTGATGTGGACTTCCTGAAAACAGAAAACTCTTCCCAGCTGCCTGTCCCCACCAGTGCTTTGGAGATGTCACCTCCTGTGTGGCACAAGCAACCACCCACATCTGTGTTCTCTGAAGGAGGAGAGGAACACGAGAAAGAAAAATTTGGGAAAGCAGTAGCCAGTAAACTGGCTACCATTTTAAATCCATGGTCTTCTGTGGGTGAGATGACTTCAGTGACTTCCCACTGCTGGCTCCCATGGGGAAGAACAGATGCAGTGTCCCTGCAGCAGCAGCAGCATGACTCTTGTGAAAACTCATGGTAAAAGCCAGAAATGGTTTGGTTTGTGACCTACCTTCACTAAGGGAAGACCCTCACAGGAGAACCATGTTTACTGGAGCACTGCTCCAGCACTCTATAACACCTTGTAGATCTCAGAAACCACCACTGGCTTGTGAATTGTCCCAGGCAAAGCACAACACTGCCCTGTCCCAGAAAAATAAGCTGAATTCTGGGAGTAAGATGAACTGGAGGGTCAGTGTCCCTTTTATTTTATGTCATATCATAACAGTGAATATTTAGAAGATAAATAAATAATTTTTCTCTGCTTAGAAAAACCTTCTGATGTTCCTGTGGTATTTTGGGTTGACGATGATGAAAGATGACATGCACAGCTTTTCACTTACAGAAAGGGAGCAGGCAACTCACATTTTCCAAATTCATCACAAGTAACTCACCTGATGACACAGGAACAAACAAATCAAGTACCATCTGTACCAATCTCACCTGAACAACTTGAATTTGAGATACAAAGGATTCCACAAAGGAAAGAGCCAAGTGTCTGAAGCCATTTTAGTATTGGACATTTTTTCTTAACAGCTTTAAGCATCTCCAGCTCTTTTATCCAACATACTACAAGGCATCTTAAAACATTCTGTATTACAGAATGCTATCTGAATGTACCCTCCAGCATCCTCAAAGGATTGCTCCAGTTCAGCATCTGCTTAAAACACTGAGCCTTCTTGCCTGCCTTTTTATTTTCCCCTTCCTGCTTGGGGCTAATCAGTCTACTTGTTTCTCTGGAAGAGCAATGTGCTTCTCAGAATGCCTTAGGTACTGGAGAGACCCTTCAGTCCACCCTCAACTACTCATAATTATACTTCTACCTCTGATTCATTCATCAGTCAAGAAAGCAGAGATCAAAAAAGGCATTCCCTTATTTTCTGTCAGAACATCATTCAGCCTAAGAACATTTTTGCAGAATAAGATGATTCACTGAGATTAAATTATGTGCTTATTTTCAGAAGTTTCCAATCCATCTTCCCAGAAGCTGTCTGCACATTCCTCCTCTCTTTCAAAAGAAGCCCTCTGCAATAGGCACACAACTCTTCTGGTTCGGCTGTAGAGTTTCTGTTCTATCTCCAAATTCTTTTGATCTCTCAAATTGTTGACTTTGCCCTTTTTGGCAATATTTTCACTCAATGGTGATTTCCCTCTGAACTTCTCACTCCACTTCTGGCCTCTCCTTTTTCCTGTTCTCAGCCTCAGCCTTCCTCAGAGACTGCTTTCCATCTACTTCAATTTCAGATGGTCAAAACTTAGCTCCTTACTGACCTTTCATGGGTTTCTTCCTCTTTCTTATGGCCCTGTGGGCAACATCCACTGCAGTATTCCAACCCACAGAGCTGGGAACTAAACAAACCCCTGGACTGTGCCTGCTTCCTACTCACAACATACCCCTTCCTCTCTCACTAGCAAAAACATCCCTTACTTTGACCCAGTAACTGGTAGTCAGTTTGGAAATACTTTCTTATACCCGACATTCATGGATTTTTTTTTCATGTACTATTTGCTTTGTGACTACCAGCCTCAAACAAAAGGGCATTTTTTTTCTAGTGTTTTGGGGTGGTTATGGTTTTCTTTCTCCCAAACGCAGTACTAATAAACCCATGGAAAACAAAACAAAACAAAACCAAGCAAAAGTATCTTTGTAACAGCTCCTGTATACTTGGAGATAGCTAATGATGTCATCACATGGGTACAGTCCCTTTTGAAAATGCCAGCATTCCCAGAGTCCCATGGAAAGCAACTAATAGGGGACCATGTCTATGCTTTCAATTATCTTCAACTTCTTGACACCACTTGCTGCTCCAGAAACAATGATTTCATAATTTATAATAAAAAACTAAAGTGGATTTTTTTTTTATGTATCAACATCTCCATTTCATTTGTGTTACCCTCTAAAGAGTGAGAGAGGCTGGTGTTCCTTACCTGCGAGCTCTCAGTGAATCCATCTGTGCTCAGTCTCTGAACACTGGACTGCCCTGAAGTGTGGCCTCAAACACAGCAGAAGAGAAAGGAGAGAGCACAGGTGGAGAAGACTCTGCAATTTGGTGCTTTGCACAGCACTGCTGGCTTAAAAATAGTGGCTTGCAGGGAGACTGGGAAACTTGACTTGTCATAAAATGCAACCTTTCCGTCAGTAATCCAACATATTTTATGTATTAAGACTCTAATGAAGAAGTTACCTCTTGCTTTATTCCAGGTCTTGTGACAGATCGGTTTTTCAAGGACAAATCCCCATCAATGTCAATGAATTCCAGCACTCCTGGTGGAGCTGCTGAGATATGCTTGAGATAGCCCAGCATGGGAATACGGCAAGGAAGAACAAAACAAGCCAAGCACAGGCCTGGTCAGAAACTCTTTAGGCATGAGAAGGAATGAACAGGAGGGCTGCACTCCAACTAGAATAACAGGATTTTGTTGTTTTTGTTGGCTCTAAGCATCATGCACGCTCTGATGCCACCAGTAGAATAAACAAAGATACCACAAAGTTTCCCAAAGCATGAGAATGCAGCAACACAGTTACAGGGACTACCGTGAAACCTGCAGGATACCAGTGCCTGGAAATCCCCCTAGTGAAAAATTTGTATCCTACAGTCAACAGCAAACCACTTTTTGCACCTACCAGCAGATGCTGTCTGCTAAAAGATAATACTCAGTTGTTTTCATTAAAGCTCAGTCTTTGATAGGACAGAGGCAGCAATTTATGCTAAAGTTTATCACTAAAGACTTTTAGGAGGTTTTAAAATACAAACGTAAAAACTCTCTTGGCTTTCCAACTGGCTTAACTTTCTGTAGAATGCACCCATTTAAACACAGCATTTCTGACAGGAGGAATTTCAACAATGCAGCACGGTGGCAATGTAGCTGATTAGCCCCGTGGAGATAGCTTCTCCCAGATGGACTTTTGGTCAGCGTACAACATTCAGGATACAAAAATACTCTGGTGGTCTTCCACTTCAGCCATAATAAAAGAGATCTCCTACACTTTAGCTAAAATAAACCACACACAAACCAGAGAGAGAGGGAGAGAGAGAGAGAGATGGCAGATACACTGAGAATCTGCAGTGTAGATAATCAAACCCTTTATTGTCTAAGTTACATTAGACTTGCAACACCATAAAAACCTGTTAAGAAGAAGAAACAGTAGATTGGTAGAGGTAGTAGAAAGTCCCTGTAACAGTCATAAAAGGGCTTTACAGGAGTGTGTCATGCCAAAAAAACTTATCACGTTGCTTAAAAGAGCTGATCAAAGCCCATTTGACTAAATAAATAAGAACACAACTCATTTTAAATACTATGGTCTAACTAAAATAACAAATCAATACAATACAATGATAAAAGAAAAAACCCAGAAAAAGTGGGAATCACTTTCAAAAACAGATGGTCCTTAAGGTTCGTTTTCCCTCACCCACTCTTATTTCTTGTTTAATTAAGTGAAAATCTCACTTCTGTGCTATACACAGCATATAATTATTTAAACTGATTTCCCCTACTGTTGTTCTTCATGAAGCTAAATTATGATTGTAAACTTTGCTGATTAGTACCCTGGCAATGGCAGTGACAGCACTAGCTTCTCTGGCAAGAATTTGGGAAGAAAATTCCAGAAAGAAGATTTTGGCTCTAAATATTAACTCAGATTTTCTAGATCAGCTTGCCAAAAAAGTATAATTATAAAAAGAGAGAATTTACAAATGTACACTACACTTTTGTGCCATTTTGGGTATAGAAGAGTTTTTAATAACTAAACCACAAACAAACAGGTTAAGCAACTAGCTTTTTTGCATTCCTGAACTGTCACCATAACCTTCTCTCATGAAAAATATGACACAGAAAAGCAACAAAAGAAAAAAAGAACTTAAAAAAAATCAAAAACAAAGAGAAAGCTAGTGCAAACCCAAAATGATAATCATTAAGCAACACAGCAAAATATTTAATTTTTTCTTTTTTTTTTTTTTTTTCTTTTTTGGTGTACAATGGAATGTGTCTATGCGACCTCCCTCAAAATAACTTCAGAGAACAGTTAATCACAATCGCCTTTAAGTACTTGCACAGACATTCCTAACTACACCGAGACTTACAGAGAATTCTGGTTTACATCTCGTGAAATAGCACAAGGAAGATCTAGTTTAAAAAAATGAGTAAGAAAGTTAATTTGCATTGTTGCAAGTGTTGCAAAGTAACAAAACCTGTCAAGTAATTCAAAACAAGTAACAAGTAGTATCCAGCCCAAATTACTGACTAGATTTTTTTTTAAAAGCAACCCCCCTGCCCGCCTGTTAGAACTGTTAGAACAGAAAGATCAAGTTTTAAGGTTTTTTTCTTCTTTTTTTTTTTTTAACAAATCTTTTGTCAGAAGCTCATTTCTACAAAAACAGCACTATCCCATTACTGTATTAAGTAAACTGTGGTCTCACCTGTATTAAAGGTTAGCATCATTTCTGTACATGTAAAATTATTGCTTTTTTGAAAAATATATTTAGCATGCTAGTTGTTTTTTTAACTCCATTTCCTGCCTTTACAAAATGTTACAATTTAAAAAAAACAAACAAACTAGTAAAGCTTTTGCAAAAATTTTCACAGAACGTTTTCTTTCAAGGCAGCAGTAACTTTTGATAATGCATAAAATTATATGTGCAAAATCTGAAACTTTCAGAAATATTACCATCACACATAGTGTCACAGCAATAAGAAAAGAAAATATTTATATCTGTGGAATACATTTTTAATTGCTTACACTGCATGGTTTAACAACCTGTTATGTGCCACAACCCCACCTTGAAAACTTGCAGTTAAAGAGTTACTGTAGAAGAGGTATATAAAGCTTTTTTTTTCTTTTTTTTTTTTTTCCTAACACCACCAGTGATCACCAAGTACAAGACATGACACATTTATATGAACATTAACCTGCCACCACAAAAGAAGTTCCTCGTCTTTCCAGAACATCAGTGGGCCCAAGGAGGAGCAGCAGCTGGTCTGCTGAACCAAAGGCAGGAGCAGAGAGCACCTTATGGCCCCAGGGCTGCCTGAATCCATTCAGTGACACCTTTTCTCTTCTAAACAGACAGATCAGCAGTGTTAGACAGCTGAATGTTTTATTTTCTCCTTTTTATTTTTCATTAAGTGAAGACTTCCTTTGTGACCAGGTTGAAGAAAGTAGCCCTGTTACAAAAAAAGGTCCTGAGAGTAAAACACAGAAGCCTGTTTTTTTTTCCTTAGTGTTCAACTAGCTTTTCTTTTCCAAAGCAGAATAGAAGCTTTTCTCGGGAAGTGTTTCAATTTCCATATTCACATACTATTAATGGTGTGCAGTCAAGAGCAAGAGCACTAGAAATGCAAGTGGTCCCCAAACTGTAATGAAACAAACCATTGCAGAATGACGGTCTTTCTCTTTAGTCCCTTTAATCCTTCATCAAGCATTGCTTTCTCAGCACCGAATGCCACCTTTTCCCTGCACCCCCCATTCTTCATCTCACTGTTGTTTTTGTTTTTTTTTTAATTTGCTTTTCAGCATGACAGGCAGTGGCAGTTTCATTAATTAATACTTCTCCAGCCCTCGAATCCACTGCTGTTTTTCAAATGTATCAAATAGTCATTGTGAGCATCAGGGAGGTTTTTGTTACAGTGCTTAACTTCTTCATGCTGTCCAAATCACATAAAGTTTAATTTTTCCAGTGTCTCAAACTTCTCTTGATTAATATAGATGCCTCGTGCCGCCACAGCGCTTGCCAACTCCACTGTTTATTATAAAGGAAATAAGGAACCATGGGACTGATTAGTACGTCAATTTATATATATCTCGTGTAGCATCTTCATTTATTTTAAGATGATTAACAGCGCGGAGGCACCCCCCTCCTGGCAGAGCGCTGCTCCCAGCCTCGCGCGGCAGCTCCGGGTGCGGCGACGGCTGGCAGGGGGATGCTCTGGAGCGCGGGGGGCTGCCGGGGCTCCTCCGCCCGGGATCTAGGTTCCCTTCCGGAGATGCAGCATGTGGGTGACCTCTGCGCTGCCGTGGTCTCTCCCCTGCAAGAAGGACAACACGGGGAAAAGCTCATTCTCGCCCCTGCTCCCAGGCACGACCCTCCAGCAAGTTCTGCCAGCATTCGTTACCCTTTATTAGCATCATGCACATTCATCTCGGCCCACCACGTGAGAACACTTTAGGGCTGTTTTTTAAGCATCTCCACCAAGAGCAAAGAGTGTCAGGCCCATACAAAGTCCCATATAAAGATGGACTACAACAACAAGTAACAGGATCTGGCGGAGCAGCTCAGAGAAGGCTGAGAACAAGAAGGGAAAGAAGAGGCCTCCAAAAAGTGGAAATTAAGTGCTAGCCAAAAGGGATTCACAACTAGATCAGTGTTTTAAAAGGGCTGAAGTTTGAGGTCACAGAGGCAGCTAAATTAAGAAAAACTGAATTCTTGTGCAGGTCTGTCAAATGCTAAGGCGGCTTTTTTCCCCCCTTGTCATCTTCCTTTTATTTTCTTAGACAATTTTCATGAATAATTACCACTCTGAAAAAAAAAATAGCAGGGATATTCTAAAATCAAGTGAAATTAAAGATAACATCATGAATAAGTGGGAGCCTGCAGCTCCCAAGAAAAGCTTTAAAATGACATTTAGAACATCACTGTCGGAACAATGCAGTTTACAATCCTGATCCTAAAACAACATGGCAAGATTAATCTTACATAAATGCATTATCCTTAAGCTAAAGTCTTGATGAAGTGAAACAGACCATTTTAAATTAATGCAACATAAAATACAGCACCCATGTAAAATCCAAGCAAGTTTCAAGCTGTGCCTATGGCAGCCCTCGAAATAGCTAAAGAAAGCCCAGCTCTGGTTGACATAATGTATTAAGTGCATCTCTTTTGTTAATAGATTTAGAAAATTCCTAATTAAACCTGGCCCGAGATTCATGACATTTACCAGTCAAAGTTTGGTTTTAAGTCGGAAAGATTTGCAACAAAATTAAAGAAAAAAAAAGCTGCTGTACAGACTGCAGTATATTTGAAATGTAGGAAACAGTAACTGAATGAGAGATGTGATAAAACTTCCTTAGTTGGATGCTGAATTTCCCGCAGTAAACTAAGAAAGATGCTTTACATTTTTGCGCGGCTGCATCATGCCTGAGAGACACAGCCACAATTCCAGGAGGAGGCATTCATCACCGGAGCGCCTCGTATCGAACCGGCTCCACGTACACGGGGGAGCACAACAGAGCTTCATGGGGCTGGGAGGAGGGAGGGAAGGGGAAGGCAGGGGATGGCAGGCCCCTTGCCCCACTTTCCCTGGGCAGAAGCTGGAAAAAGGGGTGTAATTAGGAACCCTCTTCTGGGATGGACGGCCTGTGAGGTGGTAAAGGCGTGCCCTGCATGTCATGGAGCACACAGCATGAGGGATCCAGGAGAAGGACAATCCATCCTCCCCACCCCTGCAAGGACAGCGCAGAGGGGCTGGAGATGCTGTGTGGCTGGGCCCCTCTCAGGCACAGCTGTGCTCCCAGTTTCCCTGGCAAACAGAACCTGAGCTTGACGTGTGCCAAAACCCACCCAGGGGCTCACCCGCCTGCACTCACACCATCCCAAGGTGTGGTCACATTTTGAACCAGCTGACACAGAGTCGGATTGAGTTCTTCCTGAAATAAAAAGGTTTTCTCTTTTAAAAAGTAGGGTTTCTTTCAGTGAAAAGCAGCAGATCTTTACGTGAAATCTACAGCTTCCATGCCAAAAGCTGCTCTCATAGCAACTTCCAGGGCTTTTCCCCAGTTAACAGGAAAAACCCAGTTTGTGTGCATGTTAATGTGCTGGAGAGAGATCATTGCATGACATTGAAGTAAACTGCAAGGAGCACAGATAAGGAGCACAGATACCACTGCAGTTTGCTAGCAAGGGACAAGTGCTGGGACAAGAACCACAGCTCCAAATCCTGTCTCTAATGCTCATAAAGTAACAGACGTACAGCACATGCATATTACTCAGATGCCAGTACAGCAGCCTCCATGGTTCCTTGATTGTTTGCATTATAATCTCCATATGTATGAACGAGACAAATTAGGTTGCCATTTATTTGTTCATTATCTATTATTTTGATTAATGGAATTCTTGTTCTCAGAATAACTATTTAAAAATAACATTTGCAATAATGAGGACTGAACTATTAATCATGATCTTTGGAAGAAACTCTGCAAGGAACTGGGGCAAGACATTTCATATGAACAAATGTCATAAATAGGAGTTCTAACAGACAGTACTAGAATTTTGAGTGCAAGAAAACCCAAACCAGCCAAACTCAGAAACCAATAGTCTAAATAACTTTTTAATCTGGGTTATGTTTTTTTGCCTCCTTGCTTTCTCTGTAAAGTTGCTTTAGGACAAGCAGAGCCATAGTGTGGCTGGACTATAAAAACATTACAGGTAACAGATGTCTCCAGCTGTTCCCCCAGGCTCCTTTACAACACACATATAGACATGTATATAGTGTTTTCTTGATAGTTATTTCCAATCTTTCTATCCCCCAAGTTCAGACTATTCATGTTTATGTGATTGAAGTACTGAATGCTGCAAGAAATATTTTTAAATACTTATAGTGGAGAAAATAAAGGTTTATGGACCCCTTAATGAAGGGTCACACAGTACCCTTGTCACACAGTAGGTACAGGACCTACTGCACACCTGTCTTTTCAGTGAATGATGCCCAAAAACTGTGGTGCCAGAGCTGTTTCCCAAAAAAGGCCGATCACAGCCTTCTGGCATGGGGAAAGCTTCAGCCAAAGAATTCAGGATACCAACAGTTCGGGTTTTCTCCCTGGGCTGCAGCTTCTAATTGATTTTCTGTAAATAAAAGACTGCTCTTCTGGAGAGGACAAAGGCTGGAGTTTTGGGGGTTTTCCTCGTTTCATTCACAGAGAAGATGGAGAACTTGGTGTCTCTGCCTCCAGTGCTGCAAATATTGTTCACGTACGTGTACACTAAATTAGAGAGAGCTCTTCCTCATTGCTAACCAGGAATTCACGCTTTTTGAAAACCTGCTTTCTTGTCCCTTAAAATTTTTAGAGCATATTGATTGACACTGATAGAGCATAAACCACATTCCTAAAGCGGGCCGAGTTTTTATACGGCTTTAAAAACGCAGAAGGAGTCAAAACGCACGGCGTGCGCGTTGGGAACTGCCCCCACTGCTGTCACCACGGTGAAAAAGCAGGCTCCAGACTGACTCCTGTACCACTGGGAATTGGGCTGCTGGCTGCAGCATCAGGCAGTGCCTCTGGAATGACCCCACGCTTTAGGAGAGCCTTGCTTTGAGACACACACACACACACACTCGTGGTTGCAGGGCCCCTTCTGAAGGGGAGCCAGCTTTTGTCTTGCCATGTATGTGCAATTGGAGTGTACTCCCCGAATTCATGCCTGCTAAACCGTGTCTCTGGATGTTGCTTAAGAGTATTCCAAATTAAGATACATATTCATTGTGGATAAGCAAGTTTAATTATGTATATACTGGGATATTTAGCATTTATAAAAATATTCAGAATATTCAATATGTTTAATATGGCAGCTTTTCAAGAGAATCTATGTGACTTAGCACAGATTGTATTGACTTGGGGTATGTAATGAGCATTTTTTGTCCTTTACATAAAGAAGAGTAGGAAATATTCCAAAGTTCATGAGAAATTAATTTTATGTAAAAGTGTAATTTGGTTGGGTTTTTTGTTTAAAGCATTCAGGTAGAAATAAGAAACCACAATAAATAATGTTATGAATGAACACCTTATTTCCTACATTTCATTTATATTTCATTGGTGCTGATAACAAAGCATGAAACACAGCCCAGTGCTAACAGAAGCAAAACTGTGTGTGTTTGATCTTTTTTTACACACTCCTATAGGTAACCTCCTTCTCACAGATGCTGAACACCTGCACCTCCTGTTGGTGGTTCACTACCCTAAAACAGGGTTCTTATTTAGACACCTAAATATAGATTTAGGTGGTTCATTTTTGAAAAAGCCTGGCTGTAGAACCTATTTTTAACATGCAGAATTAGAATTATTCTGTGATAGAACTGCTATTCAATGTAGCACTGCTGTAAGCTACCATGCTGGGGGATTTTTAAAGTCCTACCTAACATTGTTTCCTGAAGGAAACCTTTAGAGATGATCTGGCTGACTAGAGAGGGGAATGGCGGAACCGTGAAATACTAATGTTAATATTTTTACTCTTTAGCAGACTACTCAGGGGAAGCTATTTCACCTGTGAGGTGGAAACATTATGTAAAGTGAATCATTTCCACTTGACATCAAAGAAACCCCCCCTTCCTTTCTCAAACTACAATATAGGTAACTATTGTTTCTTGCTCGGAGCATGTGCACGGCACTTCTGTAACTTGAACTGACTTTACACCCTAAACTCTCATGAATAGATCTGTCCCCAATTAAGAAATGAAATGAAGACATGGAGTGACAACATCTAAAGTGGGAAATGGTAATGTTAACAGAATGCTGCAGGCACCGTTCTCACTGAGAGCTCATTTCTGCGCTTCTAAAGGCCCCTACAGCTGCCTGTGGAAATGAGAGCATTCCCTCTGTAACGCCCAGGGACTGTGCAGGTGGAGCCTGCTGGGGCAGCACAATGCCTGCCTGTGACGAGAGCCAGCGAAACAGCAGACAACTGAATAATCCCCCTGACACAGACGCTGACAAATTGAGACAAAGGTTGGTACTGAGGAGCAAACAAGACAAAAGAAAGGGAATGATCTCCTGCAGGAGTGATCACACTGCATCTTCTGTGGAAGAAATACTGGCTGGCATGAGATGAAGCCATTGAAGAAGTTAATCCCTACTTGGTGTTCTGCTGTACTGAGAGATGCTATAATTTCATCAAACTCTTCGAAGGCAGACTGGCAGATAGAGAGAGCAAGCTACCTTTGCCATGGAAGAAGTTAGTCAATAAATTCTGGCATAACAACAGTTTACAAAAACAAGAGAACGAGTCAGTTAATTGTGCAGTAACATAACCCAAATTACAAAGAGAGTCCAGATGTGGTCAGAGCTGCCATGTTTCTTTTTGGATACATATGGCCATTTCAGAATTTTCTGGAAATGTATTTCCAACTTTGACCTTATATCGTCTTCTAGAAGAAAGCCCAGATGACTTCAGAATGTGACCTCAACTGAACATGAGAGAAAAAGGAGCATGAAAAGATGAAAGAGCGTTTTTACAAGATGCTTAGGTTTACTAAATCTACGTTACTAAACTGATGAGAATCAAAGACTAGCTGAGCGAGCTGGCAGAGCTGCCATGTTTTTTCACTCTGTTACACTGACTGTATCTGTGTCTCTGTTACTCAGAGATGTGTCCTTACACAGTTTTATCAGATAAGCATCACAAGGCGGACACTGCAACATAACTTTGCAGCTACTGTCCCACAATAGCATAGCAAACATTGCCCACAACAACTGAAGTGCAATGCCATCTCGGAAACTTTATGAGAATTGTCGGCCACTCCTATGGCTCGGTGTCAATTCAGATGCTCCTGTGACAGAGGCTGGGTTCTCCACGCAGCCTTTGGGCCAGAAAGATGCAAGGGCACAGAGAAGGTGCCGAGGGTCTTCATGAAGGGTGCAGCATATGAACGAGGCAGTGCAGTGGTGCCCGGTGAGAATGTTTACTGAGCAAGTAGAAACCAATTCCTAAACTTCATCATGTTGGGGATAGCATGGAGATGCATTCTTTAATCATGGCCAAAAACATCTGCACCAGTTCAGTAAGAGACAGGAGGACAAGGGCTACTGTAGTGAAAATTACACTAAGAATGAGGATGAAAGGAAAAGTGAGTGAAACTCCATTGTGAAACTGCTGGAGGCAGTTTCAAATGGAAGAGAAGTGCCCATGAGAAGTGTGCTCTGAAACAAACCTGCCAAGCTGCAAATTGAATGGGAACGTCCAGGCTATGACACTATTCTCCAACTATGTAAGATACACAAAACAAATTCAGTTTAATGATTTTCTATGTAAGGGCTTTGTCATGTATAATTCAGAGCTCTGAGAAGTGTTTGTTAAGACAGGAAACTGTGTGCTAGAAACAAGAAAGCACACTAACAGAGTCCATGGAAACCGGTGGGTAAGAGTTTTTCGAAGTCAGATACTGGGTATCAGGGTGCATATACTCCACAGAAAAATACAGACTAAACGTTAGTTGTCTTGTTGAAGAAGAAAACATGTTAATTGTAAAAGCAAATTTCCAGGAATTCTTTATGTACTATCTCACCATTACACGTCAGCGCACATTACCGTTACCCATCCCACCCAGTCCCCAAGTAAGACAGTAACATGTTTATTTAAACACTAACTACCTGCTTTAAAATTAACTGACTCTCTACATATCAGATTCTGAAAAAATGCTTTAAAAATTTAAGAGCTAAAAATTAAGCAATACTATTATTTATACACGTTATAAAACAGTCAAGTGCTTTAGTGACGAGTATCGCTGTGCAATATTTTCCCAGCTACCACATTAAAAACCAAACACCCAATTAATTGTAAAACATACTTGTTTTGGGGCATCTGCGGAGGTGGTGTGAACTTCAGTACCTCGGAGTCCATTAGACTCAAATACCACTGTGGGAACAAGGGGGCTTGTTAACAGATGAACATTCAAGCTTCGTTAGTGTGTGTACATTATTTGAGACCATTACAGATTAACCACGTTCAAAAAAAGACACCAGCTACTAGCCTGTGGCCGGAAAATACCAATTTACCGTAACACTTACTGTAAGAGAGTGTGCTAATGGCAGCCTAGGGCCACTGCCCTTTTTAATTCAGACTTCAGCGCTGAAGAAAGCAATCACTGACAACATTAATTATCAGTGTATGTGTAAAGGGACCCTCTTCTTGCATTACTTACCATTTGGCTTCTGTCATTTTGCATCAGACTGGCTTATGTATGCATCATTCACACTTTTGAGGGGGAACCTGCTACTCTCACTGTCTCATGCAATGCTCAGGAGGGCTCATGACACTGGTGGCTTCAGCATCCTCCAGCCTCAACCACAGACCGTGTCAGGTTAAAAAAGGCTGATAGGGATTTCCCATTTTAGGGCTGACCAGTCTGAGGGAATATCTCGTTTCCCACAAAAATGTTCCTGTCAACAGCAACGACGAGGCAAAACAAAGCCTTATGTTGTGCTGAAAGGGGTACTTTGATTTCAATTTGTGCTGGTGGCAACAGAATTCATTAGCATATTCATTTCTGAGTACCCTACTCTCTACTTAAAATAAAACATTTGCAAACAGACTTATCTTAAATGCATTGCAATTTTATGGAGTTCGGGCAGGGATCAGGTAAGCAATATTTGGAGAACAAGAGCAATAGTCATAAAAATAAAAAACATGTCTATTAGATTTAGGTACTGGAATTACTTAGGTTAACATGGTACGTGAAATGTAATTCTTGGCATTTTGTTAGCTGAATCTGAAAGCAGTCAAGTGGGAAAGGGAGAAAGCAATAGCGAGTGTGAAAAGATACCTGTGTGGGACCTCTGATGGGTCCTGAGGTGGCTGGGTTGGGTAAAGCATTTTCCACATTCTCTGCAGACACAGTCTCCTTGGCGTGTTTGTGTCCTGAGCATCCCTGTAGTCAGGAGAGAGGAAGGGAAGAGGGGGGGAGTGGGGAGGGGGGGGAGAGGAGAGAGGAAAGTTGAGAAGAAAACATTATGCCAGAAGAAAACATCATTAGTATGTCTAATGTGTCATTATGTGAGGCTACCTTCGGGCCCTGGATGACAACTGTCAGCCTTCATCTAGGCACTGGCTGACAGGCCAGGCACACACAGGACTGCAAGAATGCATAAATTACATTGAATTAAAAAATGCTCCCCATGATGTGCCCGCACCAGGACTGGCATGTCAGGTGTGCGCTTTTCAGAGCAGCTGGATCCACTTCTCAGCCATCACCCAGCTTTGTCAAGCAGTACATCAGGCAAATCAAAGTGACTCCAGCGTGGTGGAGACAAGTCACATGGATAATAGGAAGTGAGTAGGACCAGAGCCCGACTGTCCCCCCCAGGCGGCAATACCTCAGAGACAAATGCAGAGCGAGTGGAGCCATCGCAGACTGATCAAACCTTTCGCCCCTGCCTACCTGCCTGCCGGTGCTGCTCTGACCCCGGACCTCTGAGGCACAGATGAAAGACATCTGTGAATGAAAGTGTCATTCCGGACATTTTGAGCTGGTAGCAGCACAGCAGCCTTCCCCCAGCCCTGGGTAAACATGTTTTCTAGGCCATTAGCATTTGTGGAAAACCGCTCAAACCTCTCCTTTTTCTCCAAAGGTCAGTTTACAGCATCTGACTTAAAGGGCTGGTCTTTGTCTTTTTGCTGCTGATCAAAAAAGACACATTTGACTTTTATTGGGCTTTTTTATTATTGAAAAAAAAAAGGTTTGAACATCATCTTTTCTATTTTGGTAAAACACCCTCTTTGGAAGAAAAGAGATGATGTTTCCATTTGCCACTGGAATACTTTGGCTTTTAAAGAAATTCTGAGAGGGATGTCAACAGAAGTGAAGTTTCAGCTTTTCTTTCATATTCCCCCCCTCCCCCCAGTTACAGCATTTAAGGAGAATAAAATTGTGACCAAAAAAGTGGCAACAAAAAACCTTCACACAACTGAAAAATCAACAGCAGGATGCCACAAGATTAATCCAAAATACAGATGCTGCATCTGAAAATGAATGACGAAGAAGACAGCTAGCTGCCATTTACTCTGCTGCTATGACACCAAGCATCCTGGGATGCTTTTCACCAGACCAAACACTGCAAAGAAATGTCTTGCTGCAAAAAACCTCAGAACAAACACCCCACTCACAGTTTGTTCTCTTCTTTTATAACAGCACCTCCTGCAGATGGCAGCACACTCTGCAAAATGTACCTGAATACTCACTCACAAAATTAAGTTTCTGACCGTCAAATACAAGATCATGATTTGGGGAAAAATCCAGATCAGGTACACACACAAAAAAACCCCAAACAAGCAAACAAAAAACTCCAGGGAAAAAAAAAAAAAAACACCCTACCAAAAAAAACTTTTTGAAATCACGTTAAGTGTTCTAAGCATCAATGAGAACCTTACTGAACTGTAATGGGGTGGGTTTGCCTTGTAAGGAAGGCAGGATTAAAGCAGGATTTCTGAGATGTTACAAGCATTTCTCCCTTCACTGCCCAGAACTCTAGCTGCAAGTTGGAAAGCAAAGCTGAGGGAAGTGTGTGGAGGAACCAGTTGTGGCCTTTGCAGGAGTGCCATGCTGACTGCTGGACGGGCAGGGACTGGCAGAGAAGCTTTGTCAGGCCCAGGAGAGCTGGGTTCCTCAGGTACTGGTTCTGACACCTCTGGAAAGACATTTAATCCCTCTGTAACCCACATTTCCTTCTGTTGAAGGGGAATACACTTATCTCAGCAGCCATCACCAATCTGATCCACCAGCCTTCACGGAAGCACCTCTCCTACCCATGAGGGAAGGTTGAGCATGCTGTTTGTAAACCAATGTATAAAAACCAAGGATGAGTGGGTTAAGACTTCCACCTAACCCCTCCCTAGCACTCACTTTATGGGAGTTATTCAATAAGCAGGGGGAAAAAATGGATTGCTTCCAGGTGTATTTGCCATTGTTTCATTTCCCAGGTAGCACCAGAAGGCTTTTGATAGCTCAGAGCTTTGAGCCATGGGCGTGGCTGCCACAAGGCAATACCCCTGGGAGTCGTCACTCACGTTATTCTCTATGTGAGCAAAAAGGGGTGGATGACTACAGGTGTTCGATAATTCAGGTAAAGGAACATCACTGTGTGAATGGGAGCTCCTGTGAAATCCATGCTCAAAGCTGGTCTCAAAGGAGCCCTGAAGAAAGAGTGCATCTGCTGCCATAACCCACCCTTTCCTAATATATAAATGGCATGAATAAAATAAATAACCTCTAATAAATGTAACAGTAAGATTCTCTCCACAGGCATTTCAGAAGATTGGGAAGTGTGAAACAAACCTAGCCTAGCACAGCAAGCTTCATGTTTGCAGCTGTATCACAGCAGTATACACAACAACTCTCTTCCAAAGACACACTGGAACAAACATCAAAGAAAGGATCCCAAAAACAAATGCAGCTACTCAAAAGGAAGTTGAACACTGTACTACCACACACGAAAATAATCTAGTGTGATCCAAGATGACATCATATACCAAAAACCCCAAGGAAAGTCTATTGGGAATATTCAACTGAGGGGAAAAAACATGACAAATAGTATACATAATCCAGATTTTTGGATGTCCTTTATGTCATAATTGCCATATTCACATTACAGTATTAAAGCTAAATGGGATGCTGCATACTGACTCAGAGGACTCAGCTTATCTAGAGCCATATGTTATTTCAGATGAAGTTCAATTACCCTCCTCTGTCTGCAGTTGGTAGGATCTTGTTCCTTTTGCCTGAAGCAGCTTTTTATTTGAGTGCTATGAAAAACAGCCGTCATGCCAATTGGTTTGGAGAAACATCAGCAACCTGGAAGTTGTATATAAAACGAAGACAAGCTACATTAAAAAAAAAAGAGGTTTCAAATTCTGAAAACTTGATTGCTGTAAAACACTTGGAATGAAAGAAGAGGTTTCAAAGCAGAGATGGGCACTAAATAACTTCCAGTTAAAGCGTCTCTAGAAATCACTGCCCAGCAAAAACATTCTGGCAATAAAATCCCTCTTTTAAAAGGCAGGTAAACAGAGACCTCTTTAGAAACCCTGCCCCTATTTTACTCTGTTCCAAAAGTCATCATGAATTTTCTGGTCCTTGCCTTCACTTAGTCATCTTCTATTTCCTAGCTTTTACTGTTTTTCTCTTATCCCTCCTAACGTGGCTGGGAGCTCACTGGATCAGTAAGATTTCTCTGAGCAGGCTGACACAATGTACTATTAAATAACATCAAGGAGGGCACCCACGCAAAGGTACCCCAAGTTGGGGGTGGTACAATTAAGTGGTACTTAAGAGCGGGAAGTGAGCAGGGAGAAACTTTAGACAAACAATCCACTGGGATGCTGAAAGCAAAGCCAACTGGACAAAAAACCCCCTAAGGAACACTGAAGCTGTAGTTTCAGACACTAAGCATGTCTTCCTCTGCTTCCCTAACAAAACCCAGGAGCCTGATGTTGGTTGCAATCACCACGCAGGCCCTAAGCTCCTGAGAAATTATCTCAATAAATAACAGGCCCCTACGCAGCACCACCTTTGAAGGGACTGAGCAGAACTGACAGTGGAGGTGGCTGAAAGGTGCAACTCACTCATGGACCGTGTCAGGACAGATTCTGCCCTCCTGTCTCCTCCGAAGGGCCCTCCCACCAAGACCTGACTTAACACTCTGGGCTCCTTCCTTGCCTCAACTTGCACACACCTTCTGGGCACTAGACCACAGCTGTCCTTAAGACTACCAGCTTCCAAGGGTCCTGGATTTTGTACCACTTGCAAAAGCTCAATTTCACACATGCTTTTGACAAAACAGAGTGTACCATGTCAAGTGAGGACACCAGAACACCGGCCCAAAATGTGTTCTCTTTTCATGTGGAGTTGATTTGCATGACTTCTACAAAGAGAGAAGGATATAAAAAATAGCACAGTTTACAAGTGGTAAGAGGTGAGACTCTGGCTCCGATTCTCCTCCCCTACAGACACACACACATCTCATGGGTAAACAATCAGTGTGATTTTCAGTTTCCACTGAGACAAACCAATTCTGGCAGATCATCAGAAGAGTATGGTTTTAAATGCAAATATGTAGGTGTATTTTTATTTATATGGCTGTTGAACTTTTTTAGTCCCCAAAACTTTTAAACTGGCTATTTGCACAACTGATTTTTCTGCTTATGTGAATTAGCAGGCACATGTTCAGCTCTACCTCTTTTTAATTATAAGCATAAAAACAGATCAGAAGACTCATTTGAAAAATACCCAGTAGCCTTTGATATGGACAAGGAAGATCTTAAGACTTTTGTCAAGAAAGACAAAGGACACTGACAAGCGATTATCCCTCTGTGTTGTTGGAAGACTTGTTTGCAGACAAAATTGAACAAAACCTCCAAAATAACATCACAGATAAGCCCCAGAGGATGTTTATTTTGCCTGAAGCAAAAAGATGATGATGTCTGCCAGCACCAGCATATCAGGGGGATCCTCCTGTGACAGCACATCTGTGTAACTCAAGCCTGCTTTAAGCAAGAGGACAAAAGAACAGCAGTACTCCAGGTGCTACCAGATACATTTAACCTGCGACAGAAATGTCACACAGTGCACGAGGGGGGATGCTGCAATGTTAAGAGAGCAGTAAACAAACCTATTCAAGCCTATCCAGCAATGATAAAAACAGTGAACTTGTAATCCTAACGGTTAAAGGCAGAGAAGGAAAAAACTGGGAAACAGCATGTCATGGTCTAAACAGAGATGGAACAAACAAGCTGTGTCCTCATCAATGGAAGGGCTTGTTAAAATCTTACCTGTGTGATCTAGGACAGGGCTGTTGGCACCACAGGTTTGGTACAGTGAAGCAAGGTCCTTTGGAATGTATGTTTTAAAGATATTTAAAATGTCCAAATGTTTCTCATGCCCATCTGATCCCAGATCCTGTTTGCTGGAGTGCAAAGCCGGAGGAACTCCCACGGCACCAGGCTGAGGCTGCAGCGCTGGACTGGCTCGTGCTACTGCTGTGCAGTTTGCCAATGTCCTCATCTCATTTCCAGCCTTCACGTGAGGCTCCCTCTGAGGCACCGACGGCTCTTCATGTTTAGGGTACGGCTCACTCTTACACAGAGGATGGTACTGCAGAGGGGGGTTGTATTTGGCCTTCATGGAGTCGGCTGCACAGTGCTTACCTGGAGAGGCAAAACCAGTACTTCCTTGGGGAACCACATACTTTTCCATTTGCTTACTGTTGCTGGGCTGCGTGCTAGGCCTGGATATGACTGTTTGAGTAGGTGTGATGCTTCTGCCGTAGGTTCCCATTTGTTTGGAATTTGCTTCGTATTTGCTTTTTTGTTGTGCTGCTGTGCTGTACTGCTCCTGGGAATGGTTTAGCTTGGGCTGTCTGTACCCATCCAGAGCTGGCACACGTGAACCACAGTGGCCGAGCGCGTGACTGTCCTTTGACGGATGCGTACTCCCGGACTTTGCAGCCATCCCGACAGAAAGGGAGCTGGGTTTGGAACCTGGCAATGCACTTGGCACTTGAGTACGTGTAAATCTGGCAATGGGCAAAGGCTGGCATTCCTTACCACCGAGAACAGGAGGGGGGCCAGTGCGCCCATTCCTCGCCAGAAAGACCAGGTTGGTTTTAATACTCTTGAATCCGTTTTGTTGAACCCACGGGGGTACCATCGAGTTACAGCTGATTTTGTGCAAAATTCTTTTGTGCATCCACAGGACTTCAGGGTAGTAGGTCTTGTGACTGCAGAAAGGACACGGGTAGACAATTAAAGCAGCCTGCAAGGACGTATTTAGATATTTATTGCATGAATTATCCCTTGTTGATTTTTCACTCAAATCGAGTGGAGCTATCTCTAGAGCTTCAGCACCTTTTTCTATCAGAGGATGCTCCCTGTGCAAGTCTAGCAAATTTTCTCTAGCACGACTAGCCTGCACTTCAAGTGACGTTTTCAAGTCCATGACCATGTCTAAAGATGTCTGGCCCATACCCGAAGCAAAGCTAGCAATGTGACTGGAGCAAGGAAGCCCTTGGCTGTGATGAAATACTGGCATCTTTATGTCTGCAGAACCTTGGTATTTTGAAAAGGGTTCCTTGATGACACTCTCCAGTGCTGAGACCAGAGCAGGAATCTCTGGTTTAGATTCCCTGGACTCATTCTCTCTGGCGTTGCGGCCTCCCACCTTTGGGAGTTCATCCAATGGAGATGTTATCATTGGGGTCTGCTCTTCGGGGAAGTTGCAGTGGTATGGCTTTCCATCTGAATGAGAGAAACAAAAAAACAACATTATCATTTTAAACAGAAAGAAGCCGAAAAGACAAAGAAGAATTCAAGATCAGAAGAGGACAAACTTTGGTATTACTATGGTAATGATGTGCTACAGACCAAATGTACTGTATGAGCAAGAAAATCTTGAAATAAGACACAACAGTTCAATTTACTTTTAAATATGACTGCGTAGTCTGGATAAACTCTCTAGTACTGCAAGTTCATGACATTTTGAAGAAAAAACAATTCAATAACATACCCATGTTAAAATTCTGGGACTGCGAGAAAAATAAACAAATCTGCAACCATTTAATGCTTTAACAAAAGCAAAGATAATGGAGCCAGATAAAACTGACCTAGTTAAAGGTCTGTCAGTGCTTCCATTACAAGCCCCTATTTTCAAAGGGTTTATAACTCAGCAATAAAAATTGGCTCCACACGGAAACCAACCACAGAAGCAGGTACAGCATACAGAATAAACTGCCCACTTAAGGGGGACTTTTGCAGTGGCCAAGTATAAAAGATGAGTTATAGAGGGTGTAAATTTTGAATTTCCTTTCCTTTAGTTTAAAGCAGATATTTTTCTTCTGGTTTCTTTAATTTTTTTTTCTTTATAACATACATTTATGTTTGAATCAAACTTTAGGAAAATTTTGTGACTGCTCAATCCATAGAAAGATAAGAATCCAACATTTCAGTCATTTAGATTACAGAATTCAAAACACACTTTTAATTTTCCTCATTTTCTTTTTCACTTCTCAGCTCTCCAGAGTAAATTTATCCAGCTAACATATGTCCAGGAAAGGGAGCATTCTGGCCAGTAATTAAAACAGTTTAGGGTGAAAGAGAAGTGTAGGAATTGTTTTGCTAGGAGCATGGCTACATCTGCCCATTCTCCCAATGCTGACCTCTGAGAGCCACTGATGAAGCCAATGAACCCCTTTAAATCAGTTCACAGATCAATTCCACAGAGATTTCATCACAGCAGTAATGCTTACTGCATTGAATCCATTTAGCATGTAACCGAATTGAATCATCTGACAAACTTTCAGTTTCAATTAACACGCAGTTAATGAGCCACTGCCAGGCAAGTGTAAGGAGACCGTGCTCCATCTAAAACGTCACCAGTCCAAAGTGATCACCACATCCTTAGGAAGGGTGAGAAGGGGAAAGGAGTGAACTGCTCTGGAGCTGCATATCCTCTCACATCAGCTCAGAAAAGCCAGCCCTCCAGAGAAGCGAGTGCAGGGCACTGCCACAGGCATTATTCTGCAATGGAAGAGCCACGCTGTTGGCTGGAGCTGCTCTGCACATACTCAGCCTCACCTTTAATTCAAGCAAAAACATTCCTAAGCTTTTGTTTAATTCGAAGTAATTAGGTTAAAAATAACCCATAGGTTTGCAGCCTCGCAGGGCTGAATGCTCACTCTGCTAAGATAATTTTCCTTTCAAACTCTCCAAGGGGGAAAAAATCCCCACAACCCAGAAACTTGTTTTTCCCGTGTTGCAGGCAACAAGGTTTTTGGGAAAGCACATGCCCAGCACTACTAGCTAAATTTACAGTTTGAAACAAAGACACTGCACGCAGCAGTGAAATCTGACACTGCACATCTGTGTTTTTTCAAAGCGTATCTGTCAAAGCCCAAAATACTTGCGCTCTTAAATAAGATTTTAAGGCTTCTCTTTAGGATCACAAGGAGCGGCTGCTTTGATCACTGCAGTAAATAATAAAGCAAAGTAAAAACAAATCCTTTGGTTGCAGCAGTACTCAGTAGAGAGAGAACCGACCTGCTGGCTGTACTGGGCAGAGGCGCAAGGTGGGAGACCACTGCCAGCCCCATTCCAGGGACCACACAGCTGGGAGGCTCTCGGTCCACGTCTGCAGCTGTGATGAAGGGAGGCATCAGCAGTATGATATCTGCAACTCCCAGGCTGCTCTGAGTACCACAGACATTCCTGCGTACTTTCTTGCTTGGTCAAAATCTATGTACCAAGCTGTTTCAGCAAGGAGGACAAGGTCAGACTGTGAGAGATGGCACATCTCAGATCTGAGCTTGGTCTTTAGGTCTGGACTGCTCAGTTTAGGTCTGTACGTGGGGAGGGGAGGAGGAGGAGAAAGCAGAGAGACAGCCCACAGTCCCGTGTGCCCCCCACAAAGCCTGGGACTGCAAATTTTGAGGTGGATGTAGGCCTTTTTGCCCTATTTCCTAGTGCATCCATCTATGAAAAAGGGATTTTTTCAGGTGGAAAATGTAACACAGCAGGAAAATGATGAAGACATTTCTGAGGTATATAGGCCTGCAGTTGCCCCAGTGCTGTCAGTGGATTACATGAAAATTTGTAAGGCTATTACAAAACACAACCATAAGCTTCTAACACCTTTTCATAGTGTCTTGCTAGATTCAATTCCTCTGATGCCTCACAAGAACAGTAATGAACATACGAAGAATAATTTTAAAGCTCAGATCAGGAGGCTCAATAGCAGTATTTGTGCTGCTTTTTTTTTTTTTTTGAGCTGTTCTTAAAAAAATACAAACAAAATGAAGAAACAAACAAAAACCCAAACAAATAAAAAAACCTCACATCCATACCCTACTTCCCAAGATTTGGACAGAAAAAATTTTCACCTGCAGGCCAACTCAGAATTCCTTCTCAGTACAGCCTATTGCTCTTCCCTAGTCCCATCCTGCCCTCCACCAGGGATCCAACACTATGGATCTCAACACCCAGACTGCCTTGTGGCATCTTTCCCATCATGGCAGGTGATCCAGACTGGGCAGTGAGCAGGTATCAAAGACCAGGAGGAAGAGGGGATGCAGGCAAGAGCATGAGAAGATGGTAAGCATACTCAAAAATATAGGTAGTCTTTTTAGAAAAATAGAATAAATTTATTTCTGCCTGCTTCCAGCTACTTGCCCCAGCTGAAAAGGGGTACTAATAATCTTTTTAGATCACTGGTGTAGAATATTGTTCTAACCAGCCCAGTGCAGGCATTACTGTCACCAGAAACTTTTGAAATTTTATTATGGCCAGGTCAAAGCAAAAAGCCACAAATGAGATGCCTTCTGCTTAATCTCCAGGGACTGTAACTCACACTCCCTATTGAAAGAGTTCTTGGCTAAGCATGCTCTCACTTTTATACTACAGTGTCCATCGTCTCCTTAGATTTTGTCTCAATTCCTTAGTTTCTTACCCCAAACAGCTGTTTTTATCTGTTGTACTTTAGGGTGAGAACGGTCCTTTTACCACAGGAGAAGTGTTACAGTTTTTCTCTATCACAGATACCTGGGCAACAGCTAAAGCAGAGGAATTTTCCCAGGTGCCTAGCTAGGAGGTGGCTGCTGATGCCACCACCAGTTTCGCTGCAGCTTCAAGTATCAACAGCATCACAGGCCACAGGGAAAGCAGAGCAGGAGAGTGCAAAACACTTAACTTATACGAAAACCATGGTCTAGAAACACAAGAACATTCAGGGATTTGAGCAGTTCCTCAGAAATACACCTAAAGCCCTCACCCAGTTACTCACCCAGATAAAAGGAACGCCCCTTGTCCCCACACACATATATCCCTCTTCTCTCTTTCTCCCCCTCACATGCATAAACTCCACTTGTTTTCTTCCCAGCACTGTTTCTCCACAAAACAATATTTCAGAATGGGCTGCACAGCTGTTTTAATTCATGAGGCTTCCTATAAAGTAAACCAGGCTACAAGGCTGAGGACAATGAAATCGTGATTTCTATTCAGAAGAGCAGAACCGGCTAGAAATTGGCCCCTTTTCTGGCTAGTGTTACAGCACTAGGAGTCTAAGGAAAAGGAGCAGATGTGGTGTGTTTGATTTTCAGTAAACATTTGATAGTGATTTGCACTTTGAGATGAATACTGTGGCTTGATTTGAAAACCGACTGCAAATAAATCATGATAAAAGCAAAGGATAACAAGGGAAGAAGGTGCAATATTGCAAAGACCTGTATTAGGTCCTATTTCACTTGGTATTTTCTTTAATGTTCCAGAAGAGATTCTAGACAGCATGCTAACTTAAATCTCCAGGAAATATCACATTTGGAGGAGCTGCAAAAATAATGGGGACAAGGAAATAATGCACAGGGACTCAGAGAGAATAGAAATGCAGTCTGAAAATAACCAAATGAGATTCATTCTTGGGAAAAAATGCAGGCTAAGACAAGTGAAGGGAAATGATCCAAAAAAAATCCATGCAGTGGGAAGGCAAAATCTGGGAAGAAGCAATGCAGAAAGTAACTGATGTTACAATAGACAGCAAGTTAAATATGAGTGTACTAGATGAAGTTCTTCAGCTTAGCTTTCAGAGATAAAAGCACACATTATAAAAACAAAAATAAAACTATCCCTCAGAAGAAGACACAATGGCCATGCTGGTCACACTGTGTTTTGAATATAGAAAATATATGAAAAACATATATATTTAAAAAATCTGTATAAATATATACACACCATAATAATGGGCACTATACAAAAACCCACGGTAAGCAGAATACAATGGGACCCAGCAGGGGAAAAAAAGGCAAAAAGCAGTTTTGCCACAGAAAATTCAGGTCTTTTGTTCTCTTAAAGGAAGGTTCAACAAAAACAGTCCATGACCCTAGAATACCTGTGCAGTTCTGCAAATACAGGTAAGTCAGATGGAGTTCAGAGAACTGCCACAGAAAAGTAACATGCCTCCTCACCCCCAGAAAATAAAGACAGAGAGTTTCCCCACATGGCTGAGGGAAGACAGAAGGGTGACAGGCCAATGTCTACAGCCTCCCCAGGAGTTCAAGCTCCAGAAGAATTATGTCATCCTGAGTACTGGAGTCTATCAACAACAATCAGATACACTTGCACACATAAAAAACTCATGATTAACAGAAATAAAAAAAAGGTATTTGCAGCTTGAGGAATAAATGTCAAGGGAAGAGGCAAAACACCACTTGGACTGTAAAACCTGCATGGACAAAAACATGGACTATCAACAC